ATTATTTTAAAGACTTGCCCCAGGATTTCTGTAATTGTGTTAGTTACATGATGATGGCAACCGTAGTAAATAAACAAATGACTAATTAAAAAGCAATGTGGTCACAACTGTCTAGACAGTGGGTGAAGATGTTTAATTTTGTGCTTCTAAACAACAAACAAAACCTTTTAATATATTTAAAAGATTAAAGATTACACTTGCTCTGATATCCTGAATGGAAAAAAAAAAACATAAAATGCCAAAAAAAAAACCCTAAAATCAAAACAACAACAAAAAAAGCTATTGAGGGGCATATGGCAATTCATTCATTGCAGAAAGTGAAACCGAGTTATTGGTGAAAATAGCATAAATTGCTCTGTTAGTGATGGGGTATCATGGAACTTGTAAGTTATTTATTTTGCTAGAGTATAAGACATTATTTAAAAGTTTTGCTTCACTTATGGCATGTTTTGTAGTTTCTCAAAAGTGTATTTGGAATTAAGGCATTGGGGCACCTGGGTGGCTCAATGGGTTAAAGCCTCTGCCTTTGGCTCAGGTCATGACCCAGGGTTGAGGGATCGAGCCCTGCATTGGGCTCTCTGCTCCCTGGGGAGCCTGCTTCCTCCTCTCTCTCTCTGTCTGCCTCTCTGCCTGCTTGTGATCTCTGTCAAATAAATTAAAAAAAAAAAAGGAAATAAGGCTTTGAAATTATTTTTGAAATTATGGGACATGTTTATTTAAAGACTTACTGTTCTGCTAAGACTCTAGGAAGACATACAGAGTTCTATTTCTGTAGGAGCAGAGGTCAATCTTCTAAACAAATTACATGCTGCAGGTGAGATATTTGACAATTCAAAAGGAGAAATTTAATTTAGTTTTTAAAACAAAATAATTTTAAGGCAAAAAAATTAAAGGAGCTGCAAAATGTGTGTCAGGATAATGTATAGTCATTGATTCAAGCCTTCGTTTTTGATCTGAATTTTGTTTTTGATCTGGAGTTTGTGATGTCCCTTCTGAAAGTGGCTCTCACGATCTCTGCAGTTCTCATTTCCTGGTCATTCTGAACCTGCTGTACCAGAAAGCTGAAGATCAAAGGGCAATTTGATTTTTGTGTATAAACAGGAGTTGCTGAAGCGGACTCCAAGGAAACACAGTGACTACGCAGCAGTAACGGAAGCCCTCCAAGCCATGAAAGCTGTCTATTCCAACATAACGAGGCCAAGAGGCAGACGGAGAAGTTAGAAGTTTTAGAGGAACGGCAGTCTCACATTGAAGGCTGGGAGGTACATTCACTCTACTTAACAATGGAGCTTAAAATAGTTTTGTTATGTCTTATGCTGCATGTAGAATTGTTGACATTGGATGGAGCCATAAGTGGTCATTTTCCCAGGTAATGCCAGAGGGCTATAAACATTTCTGCAAAGTGCTGTCATTATTATTTTTAAATATCTTTAGAGTGGCAAGTTAATTTACTTAACATCAACCTGAAAGCTTTGTCATAGAGCCTTCTAATATTGTATGGGTTATAAGCTTTGGTATTTCAGTAGTTGTGCATCTTGATTATCCTTTTCCCTGCCTTCCTTTGGTCAATAAGTACATAGCCTGAGACCTGGAGAGAGTAAGGAAGGGGAGTAGTACCCCGTATGTGTTCTATGATACTGTTAATTTTCTGATTCAAAATTAGGTGTTTGATGATGAATTTCATTTTAAGGTCACTTAATCTCTTAAATTGCATTTCATTGCAATTATTTCATNATTTCATCATTTCTAAATGAAGAAACTGTCTATGATGTGATTTTTAAAGTTCATTCAAGATGAAAAGTCTTATGGATTTATGACTCATTAAAGAAAGATTTTTTTAAATGATAAAAAAAGCAAACAAAGAGTGATATTCAGACTCTGTTATATGTTTTCATCCAGGGTAACTTTGAATCCCTATTATTACATGGGGTTGGAGCCTTATGTTATTTTAGTGCTATATAAAGCATAAACTAAAATTTTGTCTTTAAATTGACTTAATTGAGATGAGATGAGCTTTCACCTGGGATCATTTATTTTTAAAAGTAAAGCAATGAAGACAGTTTTTTAAACGTATAGGGAAGATTTAAACTGTTTCCAACCAAATAATGTATCACACAAATTCGAGTGGATTGCTTTTTATCTTTAGGACCTTTTAATGGGCTGATTTGTTTCGTATCTTCAATATGTTGGTTTCCATTAAGATCTAAAATTATATCCACTCAGATTTACAAAGAAACCTCAAACGTTGAGCTCCGGGAATTCCCCGGTCTATCCACTCTTCACCATGAAACTTTTTAAATCCAGCTGGGATCGAAGCTTTTCTTCGTCTCTATTCTTTCATTTCAAGTGTCCAGGGTGACCTCACATTTCAGCATGAATGCTACTTATTTCAGTCAGTTAAAGTGGTTGTGTATTTTGCAGTTGATTCATGATGATAATTCCTTTCCTGGAGAGCGGTTGTCCTGCTGGGTTGAGAAAAATGGGACTGAAGTTTGCTTTTGTCATTCTGTTGTCACTCGAGCATTGGAAGAAAAACTGAGCATGCTTTAAAATGCAGGGTTTCTCATTGATATCTGCCAGGCTTTTTCCCAAAACAAAACCTCACAGATTCTTCTCGGTACTCTAGGGGAATGGAATCTGTCATAGTTTTTTTGTTCCTCCTCATGTATATTCTAAAAAAAGTTGTATCTACTGCAGAATTAAGAGATTCTTTAAAAAGTTGATATTTCTTGCTCTGGGCATGCCAGTTACTCAAAGGAAGAATGTGTGTGGATCATGTTCTGTTACTTACAGCTTCTAACAGGGGGTGCCTCAATCTCACCAGCTCTCTGTGTTTACAACAAACAGTTGAAGTGCAAGAGGAAAATGCAGCATCGGGACAGAGGAAACTGGCTGCAGGGAATCAGATATGACTACAGTTCCAGCAGGCACAGAGGGGATCCCATGAGTGTGGGGTCCCAAAAAAGGGCAGCAATCCATGCAGATTCTATTTGAGTAGGATTTGAATATAATTGCATAAGACACAGCCAGGCTACTTTGAGGGGGTCTTGGGACATTGAAGGAACGCAGCTTGGAGGAAGGCCCAGCTAACTGGTTGGCAAGTTTTGATAAGAACATGATTCCTCATCTCAGTCCACCAGCTTGGAGAGAGGGGGAAAGCTCTTAGAATACTCACACCTGTTCTGTTCCTGGAAGCGTTGGAGAAACTGCTGATAGGACTCCCGATTTGTCCAGGAGAGAGGGGTAGTCTTACAGGATGAATGCAGGCCCTGGGAGGGAAGGGGGATTGTTACAGAAGTTTCTCTGAATTGCAAACAAAGATTACTGCTCAGCTTGCAGACAGCTTTGTGTATGTTTAGAGTAGCTCTAGTGGTTTTAGGACATGGCCAAGGGCAGATGTCAGGTAGCATGCTGGCCAAGAACGGAGAGTTCCTTAAAAAGCCTTTGAGGTGAGAAGTCTTGAGCTAATAAGGTTGGGAAAACAACTCCCTGTCTAGTTCCTTCCCCAAGCTCCTGCAGACCCTTGAGGACCACCTGAGGGATGACACCCTCGCTCCAGTAACTAAACTTTCTTGAATGGGATCTGAATCTGATACACCATGAATTAGCATTATTTTCACCTTAGGTGGATTATTTATTTCAAGTAAGTCACTTAATTATCCAGTCTTATTTTCCCATTAATCAGATGAAGGCTTTTTATAGTGAAATCTGTCAGGTATCTTGCCTGTCTAATATTCTGTGCTATAAATTATTGTTACATACCTTTATGTTGAATTTAGTTAAGCAAGTGATTGAAATCTATGGTCCTAAATTAGAAGACATAGAGCTTAAGCCTGATTTTCAAGCAGACTTCAGCTCTAGTCCGTACTCTAACCCTTACTTTGGGGATGATGCATCAGACCTCTCCCACATACTATGTGGGTTATTACAGGAGTCAAACAAAATAAGTGGAAGTGTTTTGAATGCTGTAAAATCCTATGCAAATGAGTAATATTTTAAAGTTCTGGTTCAATGGTAGGATTTTACCCTTGAGAAATTCCTATTTGTCTAATACAAGCTCCTGACTACTGAAGGTGTTGTATCACTTCAGTTAAGGTTAGATAGTTCCAAGTCACAGAAACTAAAAGAAAAACTAATTTAAAAAGATATGAGGTAGCTCACAGAATCAGTAGAAAAGCTATACTCTCAAGGGTGTCTAGGCAGCCAACGCTGGTAGGTAGGTTCATCAGTGCCCTGACTAAAATGAATAGACTCTAATAATTTTTTCTACCATTCTATTACATCACTCAAGATTCAAGATCAAAATCTAAGATTCCTATAGTCTTGCCTAGGGGAGGACAGAGGTCCTTGTTGGCCAGTCAGCCACTTTCCTTTTGAGGAAAGGCTGATCTTCCATTGTATGCAATCTTGGTGAGCCCTTAACAATTTGCTGAGGTATTATAATCCCCATTACACAGATTTAAAAAATGAGGGCCATAATATTTCCCCCAAGTGCTTACAGCTAATGGATGGCAGAGTTTAAACCTATATTCCTTGTCACCGTGTAATATTGTATCTACTCAGAAAAAAATTAAGCTAATTCTTTAGATTAAGTTGATTGCTTGCCATTTAGAAGTAAATTGACTATAGAAATTATGTTTTGTCATCATTTACATAGTGAGTGCCATTACAGAAGATCTGTAGTTTAATTGCTCATATTAGAAGTTCTGCCTTTTATTAGTATAATTTATCATATCTCAGTTTTATGTCTTATCCAATATTCAGAGCATTGCTCAGGACATTCTACCAAAGGTAATTGTAGGGCAATGATCAGTGTGCTTGGAAAGGAAGTTCATTAGTAGTTTAATCAGAGTCACTGATTCATTTCATAGAACAGGACCAGTCGCTGTCTTGGTCTGCTTTTTGGCTGATTGATAGTATTGTAATGGTAACTCTAATCTTTGGAGTCCTAATGAACTCTATCGACAGGAGAGTATCAAAAAGCATTATATCACTTGGTAATTCAGCTTTATATCTGTGATAGCCCTGTTTGGAATAGATCTCTCAAATCTGAAAAAAATCATATTAAAAGATAAGAGGGAGAATTATTAATATATGAAAGTGCTGGAAAAAATAAGATCAAAATAGTTACTGCATTTTACGAAATAGAAACAGAATAGAAATTTGACACCTCTTGGCTTTCTACATGGAGATATATAATGGCACAAACCATTTTAACATACATTTCTTGCTTTACATATGATTAAGTTTGTGTCTGACAGTATATTGACTTCAAGTCATGTTCTCTTACTTTGAGTGTGAGTCTAACAGAGGTTGTGATGAGAATTTTTTTTCTTTTCTTTTTCTTTTTTTTTTTAAGATTTTATTTATTTATTTGACAGAGAGAGATCACAAGTAGGCAGAGAGGCAGGCAGAGAGAGAGGAGGAAGCAGGCTCCCTGCTGAGCAGAGAGCCCGATGTGGCGCTCAATCCCAGGACCCTGGGATCATGACCTGAGCCGAAGGCAGAGGCTTTAACCCACTGAGTCACCCAGGTGCCCCCTTTTTTTCTTTTCTACAAGGTGATTTGGTAGATACAAATTTGTCTACTGCCTTGAGACAGAATTGATTTATAGATGGCCCTTGTTACTTAAGGATAGGTGGTTTGGAAAGAAGGCCTTTGAAAGTCAATCTATGTAGAAAGGGAGCAGAATTTCCTAAGTGGTAGGGGGCGAAGCTTGATTGGGGCTTCATTTCGATAAAACGGACATTTATGTTATTAGTTTTATCTAATATATGACAGAATCTAGGTTAAAACATCAGTTAATAAATTGAATCTCAAAAAGAGTGAACCAAATGCTGAATCTTGCTGGAGGGCATACATTTTATGACATTATATGATAAAATGATGTGATATTCTTCATTTCATGTTTAACTTTTCTAGTAGTTTTAAAAGATTTTTTGAAAGAATATTCAAATGCTTCATTCATTTTCTTGAGACACTCCTTTGATATTGAAACCATTCTCTTATGAGACCCCCACCTAGTTGTCATTCTTGTCAATTTTCTTTTCTTCCACAGCGAGTGGGTCTAGCTCTTGTTAGATCTTCATCTGTCAGTGCTTTGTATATGATTGGGGGAAGTTTCAGAGCCTCCTGTCATCCTTCTTCTTTGCCAAGATTATGCCTTCTCTCTGCAGTCTGCGTTTTTCTGATATTGACATTCAACATTTAGTTGACAAGAT